TGCGGCCTCACCAGTGCTGAGTACAGGAGGACAATTGCTTCCCTGCTCCTGCTGGCCATGCTATTTCTGATACAAATGAGAGTATATTATTCAGCTTGTCCACACTGCTGTCTTAAATCGTTCCAGCTGCTTTCTCCTTGCCACAGCCTTTGTGTTTGATGAAATAGATGAGCTATCCCAGCTATGGGGTTTTATTTTTCAAATTTGATATTTCTGGTATTTCTGTGTTAATTATTAGGGGGGTATATTCATGTAGTACTTAAGGCACATATCCTAAGTGCAAAGAGAAAGTGTCTGAAATCCGGGTTACTTCTCACATGTTTTTGTTAAGTCTCTTTTCAGAAAAATTCAGGTTCTTTTTTAAAACCATCAGAAGTGAAATACATTTTGCGTTGGAGTTGTGCAATTACATTTTAAATTCTTCCAGTCCTAATTTAGCAAGTCTTTCAGTAACAAGGATTCTTAAAAACCAGACAGTTTCTGATTGAATAAATGTGCAAGACAAAGTTGGAGAGTACTCCCAATTTCATCATTATATGATCAGTATACATTCTTTTCTAGGACTAAAACCAGTCCTCATCACAGGCAATGGCTGGACTTGGGTTAGTCATCCAAATTCAGGAATCTGCATGTGACCTCAGTTGTCTAAGGAGCCATTGTGCTCAGTGGAGATCTCCCTAGTGCAGTTGCTGTACAGAGGTTGCAGAGCTGCTCAGCTTACTCTAAAATAGGTGTCTAGCGATGGGTCAGATGAATCCCTCTGGAGGCTTCATTGACTGCGTTGGCTAGATCAGATGCAACTTAGTTTTGTTGAATTCACCCAAGTGAAGCTGTTAGCACTGACTGTAATGGGGCATCTAGCATGCAGATGGGCACATAAATTGAGTCGTCTGAAAAACATGTTTAAAACATTAAAATCAACAATTTCTGTCAATTGGCATTGCATTCTTTCATTATGTAGAGGAATTTGAAGTGTGACATTGCAGTGGGTCGTGCATTCTGTGCCTCCAGGTAGTATGAAATAAAAGTCAGGTTTAATTGTGGCAGACATACAGGGAGTTACAGTTTGGCAAAGTTACAATGGCTATAAAATTATAAATAATTTACTGGTGGGATAGTAAGTTCTGAATTTGATTTGTGAGAGGACAAGTGCAGAGATAAGGCTGTCCGTATCTTCATCAGAACAAATGAAAGGTTATAGTGGTTCAGGTTTTTGTGAGCTTGGGAGACTGAATTGAAGACTGCAACATTTAAGGAAAGATGGAAGATTAAGAGCTGAATACATTTTCAAATCTATATGCAGAGGAAAATAATTGGATCTTGGGAATGTTAAGAAGGGAGAAGCTATACATTTTCTACATAGGGAGAGAGCACTCTACAGTGACTTGCAGGTTGTGCTGGGGGGGAAGGTATCAGGATTGTAGTGTTAAAAGGGGCAGATAATTGAGTTGGCAGTAAGAAGTGTCACATCTGTTAAATTGAGTAGAGAGAAGTGACAAACTGACATACGTTTGGGTGTCATCAGCGAGGGAAGCTGCATAGAGGGAAAGGAGTAGGAGATCTGGGCAGAGCTTTGTGGTATTACATACAAAAATGTGAGAAGAGAGTGTGAAGTATCCAGAGACACTGAAGAAATTACTGGATGGATAAGAGCAACACTAGGAATGGGCTGCACGAGCCAAGAGAACAGATTTCCTCTCATTCTCTCATTCTTTAAGAACATTTAAGGTTTGTGTGAAGAGAATCCAGAAAGTTTTCAGAGTCTGTGGTTTTGGAGACATTTAGAAATCATTTCAGCAAAGCACAGTACTGGTAAACCAGATTGTTTACTTTCGTATTCCCCGCTGATCTGGAGACAGTAAGTGTAGATAGAGCAGTTGAATTCTAAAATAAAAGGTGTGATTAGGAACTGATTAGGAAACAAAGAGTATGTTTTAGGTTTTTAGTTGCTGTGGAAGACCACAGTGTAAGCTTGAATGTGAAGGCACTGAAATGAGCTTTGATAGTTGTTAATTTGGAGGGGAAATTGCACCACAGGGAGATGATGATGTGATGGAGAGGTAATAACTGAAACAGGAGGAGAGAGGGAATTAGAGGGGAGAAGATCTGGCAAGGCACCATCTTTAATAAGAGAGAAGGCTGGGAAATAGTTTTTATCTTTGTGCTCACCTTTCTGGGGTGCGGTGCAAAGTCTGTAGAATACTGTGAAGGAAGGGAGAGCAGAAGACTTAAGTTTTGCTGTTTTGCAGTTATCTGTTCTGAGATGGTGTCTCTGTATTTTTGATGTCAAAACAAATGATTTTATATCTTTGAGGCTGCAGGTGCACTTAGCAAGGTCTCAGCAATTTCACAAATAGTTCTACATTGCTTTGTTTTAGTAGATTTGAGTAGAAAGCTGAGAGGCCTCCTGTTCCAGGTCAGAATGTATTCATTTCAGAGATTAGGAACATAAAAGCACGCATCAGTTCTCATGCGTAGCTTGAACCTTCTGTGATGGATGGTATCTTGATGCTAATGACCTAGCTTATTATTACTAATTTTAAATGACCTGTTGGTGAGTGGCATCACAGATAAAGATAGTGGCAAGGGAGTATCCAGAGAAATTGGGCATTTTGTAATGCAAAGAGCAAGTGCAAGTTGCTTCTATTTTTTTAATTCAGCAGTCATACTAGTCAATTATTTTAGAAAATCTAAAATTAATGTATTAAACTGCATTAGTATTAATCCCAGTACATTTAATTTATGCAATACTGTGTAAGTTATCCTTTTGGGTCCCTGTGTCCCCCTCCAGGTATTTTGCATTGGAAAATAGGCTTGTTTACATTGTGGGCCTGAAGTCATATAAAATGCTGTGTATTAGTTTCAGACGAGCACAAGGGTGTAAATAGATGATCAGTCCTTTTTTTGTACAGCTATAGCATTATCCATGGGTTTGAACATCTGCAGAGGGTAGGTGGACAGTAAATACTGGTAAGTATTAGGCAATTCTGACTTCTGAAACAGTGATTTTTATATGATACAGCATTAACAAATGGCAGGACCAACATGGTCCAATTGAACGTGCTATGAGTAAAATAGAAATTATGTAGATACTAGTAATTAAACATTGCTAATGTATGCAGGAACATATGTGGTATTATAAAGAGCTTTCCTACTGTGTCACTAATCTTCTAATATTCTATGCTGTGTTCTCTACAGAACTACAGTAAAACAGACAGTGGTCGCTCTCACCTTGCCCTACCTTGGGAATGTAGCAGTCTTTCTGAGTAGTGAAGGTGGTAGAGCAGCACAGCACAATTTTTTTAGATGGAAGAGGCAGTAACACCTATAGCAAAGGTTGCCTAACCAATTCAATCGTAAGAACCTGTTCTGGTTGTTTTTAACTAGCTAAACTTTCCAACAAATTCTGTAGAGGACAAACTATCTTTCTGTGCTGTTGGTGGGAAAGAGAAGGTAGATGCACCTGGAATGCAAAAGAGGTAGTGAGCAGTGAGAACAGGTTTGGAGTGATAGTAAGACAAGTTTTCATAAGCAGTATAGTGCATTCATCTCCAGAACCATGAATTGAACCTAAAGATCTGGATTTTCATCACTTCTCTCCTATTCAGTTACTATCTGAGTCTCCTTCATATCTTCAGATTTTCTTAGTGTGAGAGAATTTGGACCTGTCTCCAGCTTCCCTGCAGGGTACTGTAACCACCAGGCCAGTAGGCAGGTGGTATTTCCAACTGGTTTTGGAGCAAGGCATCTAGGCAGAAGAGATTACACAGATGTTTTAGAAATTGAGGAGGAGAAAATATGACCTGGAAGCCTGGTGACTGAGGTACTCACCTGGAATTAGAGGCCCAGGTCTTTACGTTCAGGTCCATATGTATTTCAGAGAGAACTCTTCTAGACCTAGTTCAGAACATACATGGGAACTGACTTAAAGTAGTATGCAAAATCTTGGTTCTTACATGTACAAAAATAGATGTGTGATTTTTGCAATCTTGACTTTTTTCTTAATAGCATTAGTATATATTTGAGCATGGGAGGACCATTGAAATTCTCTTGGGTTTTGTTCTATTATTTTGTAAGAATAGTCAACCTAAAAATTAGATGGTGTTATCTTTTCATTGTCAGCATCCTTTCTTAGATTATCCTAGCTCTTGTCTTCCATTTTTTAGGGATCCTTATTCCAATTCTTCTTCATTATAAAGTGTCAGAGCTTTAAAATTACTTCTCTTGCTCTTGTCCTAAATAAAGGGATTTTGTTTTGCTCTTTTGTCTCTTGCTTTTCTTCATTCATATCTTGTATCCTGTTTTCCTTCGTACTGCTTGCTTTTCTCCTTTTTCAATTCCTCCTCCTTTTTCTCTGCCAGTTCCAACTCTTAACTGGCAACTGAATGAAATTATACTTGGATTACAGGTCTGTTTTCTGTGAAACTGACTGGGACTAGATAATTTTTGTTCTGGTCTAAGCTATTGCTGCACATAGAGTGTTCCTTTCCTAATGTGGTGTTGTAGATGGACTCTTAAGCGTGGCTAAGTAATGTATGGAATCGCCAAACTTGCATTTAGTTCAGCCCTTTAATTGTATAGATTTCAATACCTTTTCCATGTACAAAGGAGTAGAAGAGAAATGTAGAATATTTTAAATTGCTAAAAGAAGTTGATTCGATAATGATCCAGGTATGGCCAGTTGTGGTTTTCCTGTACCTTTTCAACTGTGGTGTTAGAAACTTACTTTGTTAACCTTGAAAATAAAATTCAACTTTAGACTACTAAATTTAGCTTAATTTTAAAAATTGTGTACAGCATTCCTAAATAAGTTTTTGTCACACTGTTTTATGATGTTCACTGTTTTTTTTCTTTTGATGTCCAGTTGACATTCTAACGCAATATGGCAGAAATGCTGTTTTCCCCCTTGTAGTTCGTTGTCAGGATATTTCAAGGAGAGAAGAAATGCTGACTACATGGGACTATCTGTGCTACTAATTCTTGTATTCTGTATTGTGTAGGCTATCAAGTACTAGCTCCTACTGCCTATTACGATCAGACTGGTGCCTTACTAGTAGGCCCTGGAGCAAGAACTGGCCTTGGAGCACCCGTCAGATTGGTAGCCTCAACTCCTGTTATAATCAGTTCTGCAGCAGCACAAGCAGGTAAGTATTTGATCCTGCATGGAGGTTTCTTCCGCTTTTGTACTGAATCTTAACAGTAATGTTGGTTGATGAGTATTTGTTGTTGTTGATGTGTTTTGTATGCATCTGTGAAGTTTTCTAGTTGTGAAGAATATACCATACATGCTCTCTTTCTTACTCTGTTGCCTCCCTTTCTCAAGAGACACTGCCGTTTCTGAGATGTAGTTTTCCTTTTTTTTTTTTTTTTAATTCAAATTTACAGTCCTCTCCCCATACATATACAGGCATGTTTCTGCAAATGTTGTTGCTTGTCAGATATGAACATTTTCCCCTTTCCTCTCCCCATGCATATAACATGCACTTCTCATCAATCCCCTAAATGGTGTCCTCTAGGAAGCATCATGTCATTGCTTCGGCCTGGCAGAAGATGATGGAGTGCTCTGGGGCCTTGCTGTGCTTTTCTTCTGAAAGTATTTTCTCCTGGAAGGTGTGGCAAGGGAAAAAAAATCTAGAATGGACAGCAGAAGGGGAGAATTAGTTATATCGAAAGTCTCAAGTTTTCTTTTTCTCTTTTTATCAGTGGTAGGGTCTAGTACTACTTTACTAAACCATTGTATTTATTGCATTTGTTAAATTAAAATCCGAAATACTAACAGCAGATTAATTAATCTGTTCAGAAAATTAGGTTTTAAGTTAATCTGTAAGCTGCTTTCTCTATGCAGAACTTGCTTCTGACATTAGTAGCTGAAGATGTCTTTGAATGACTTGTAGCTGCAACTCTGCTGTTGTGACTTTGTATATAAAAGTACAGTTCAGTAAACAGTAATGTCTTACATGTTTACACTGAAAATTCCCTCAATTACATTAACAATTCTGCAGCCTTGATTAGCCTACAACATATGCTGTCTTCATTTTTTTTCCTCGGGTAATTAAGACTGTGTAATACTATAAAGTCTCTTTAGTCCTTTAATATGTGAATTTCTGCTTGTTTAAGAGGGCTTCAAGAAAATAAGATTTAGATCTGAATAGTCCATTTTCAGTCAGAAATGTTTGAGAGAGTAATTATGATTGAAAACGTGTGTTTTACAGCTGCAGCTGCTTCAGCTGGAGGAACAGCAAACAATCTCGCGGGAGCCACGAACGGTCTATTTCGGCCACTTGGTGCCCAGCCACAACAACAGCAACAGCAAACAAATAGTAGCCTACAATCCAATTCATTTTATGGCAGTAACTCTTTGACCAATAACTCCCAGAGCAGTTCCCTTTTTTCACATGGTCCTGGCCAACCAGGAAGCACATCTCTTGGCTTTGGAAGTAGCAGCTCTTTAGGAGCAGCTATCGGCTCTGCACTTGGTGGATTTGGCTCATCAGGTAGGTTATTAATGTAGTGAGGAAATTCTGTGAGACTTTTGTGTTAAGCAAAAAAATGTATCTGTATCCAGACATATTATATACACATACATTTCTAAAAAGAATGCAAAAATAGGTTATTCACGTTTAAAACAAATTATAGGGGAAGAAAAAGGGGTTTTTAAATTCACTTCGGCTCTGTATACAAGATGCATTTTTGAAGAATATCCGGTAGTCGTAGATATTTCCAAAATACTTTTCCATATTGAGCACTGTACTCTGCCCCAGAAGTTTGTTATTGTTTTTAGTAAGCTTTTTTTTTATTATTTTCAAGGAAGTCTTCATTCTGTGTTTAAAATAACAATTGATGACTTGAGATATGCATTTGTTTGTTGTAATTTTTATGTCAGGAAAATTCCTATTTTTTAAAAAAATTAAGTAGCATATGACTTTCTAAATTTGGTCTAATACTGAAGTGTTTGTTTCCATAACATTTTTTATAGGATTTATAAACCAGAAAGACTTAATATCCAAGGATAGTCCTTGTTAACTTTAATCTTAGATACAGTTAAGTGTAAATAGGTCTGTGCAGTTTGGGGCCTTAAATTATTGCAACAGGTGCTCCTTAATATAACCTGTTTGTATTTAAAAAAAAAAAAAATTAAAAAAATCAGTGTTGACATGTTTCTGCTCTATAGCAGAAATTTCTTATTCTCGCAGTTTTTAAACATGCAAGGTAGGTTTTCTTATATTTCAGATTCAGTATTAGTAAGGCAAGCAAAATATCTTTTCTGAAGAATATTTCCTTTGGCTATTAATCTTTAAGTTACAGCACTGAATTGCTTCGTAGTAGTATTATTATTTTAATGAAATCAGTGGAGCATGTTTACAATCTTATGTATCTTGCAGAGGGGTAGAAATTGGGGGAAATTTATGTACTGTTAACAGTATTCTTTTCAGAGTTAAATGCCCCAAGGGAAATAATTAAAAAAATAAATTAAGTGTTGAAAGAAAGATTATTACAAGATAGCTTAACATATGGGGGTGAAAAAAAAGGAAAAGCAAGCCCTTCAGTGTTAAAATATTATACCTCTTATTTTGTAACTAAGTGGAGGTGAATAGTGACATCAAATATACTATGTACCAACACAGAGATTTTCTCAGTGTTGTTTTTCATAAAACAATCTGAAAAATTATTTAACAAAACTAATGCTAGGAAATCCAGAATCAAGTTCTACACTGATTCTCTCTTAATACCTGGTTTTAAAGAGTGGAGTAGAAGACTCTAAATGTACCATCTTTAATTTAAAAAAAAATTTAAAAATGTAGAGGCTACTCAGTCATGTTTGTTAATTTTCCATAATACCACAGCAGGTAACTCTTACTTACAAAGTAATTGTGCTATCCAAGTGCTGTATTTTGTAATATAATTTGTCCTGAGCTACTTGTAGGATTTCAGTGAATTCTTAGCAGCTGTGTTTCGATCTAGGTACAGTTTCATTTCATTGATAGTGATCATAAGTGTATCTGCATATTTAATGCAGTGCACCCATTTTAAGTCTCTAGATAGAATAGTTGTAAGTCACAAAATTCTTTATCCTGCATTATCACAAGGACCATAGAATACAAATTTTAGTTGTATATCTACTTAAGAAGAGTCAGCATAGTTCTTTCTGGCACAGGAGATTAAGACTTTTTTTTGTAGCACAGGTCAGTTCCAGAGCTTTGTCCAAAGCCTTCAGCATAGACAGCATATGCTGAAATTTTGTAGCAGTATCCTAGGTGATTTAATTAGCATTAGCATGGTAGTTTCCACAGGGAAGCAGGAAGCCTATGCTTTTGCAGTTTGAGAAGTGCTGATGAAAGGTGCTATCTAAACCTGAAATATTTTTAGTAGTATTATTGGAATAAAAGTATATTGAAAGTGCCCGTCTGCCAAGTATAAATTGTACTTGCCATAATAGCCACTTAAAAAATGCTTCCTGATAATTTTTTTAGAGAGTTCCTAAGCTGTATGTATATATGAATTGAATTACACAGATGAGTACTTACACAAATGGCGTTAATGTGTGTTAAGGCAAATTTAAAAACAAATTTAATTTCTTATTTGCCGAAGTTTCAGCTTCTTTGTAACTCCCTGCAGTGTGTTGTAAAGGTTGAATTTAAGTTAAAATATAGTCATGAAGACTGACAGATGGTAATACAGATCTTGCCCTTAAGTTTTCAGTTGTTGCAGGGAAAAAAAATAGCTCTACAAAAAATGCAAAGATGAGCATGTTCTAGCTGAATGACTGAACAATAAAGTAAAAAACAGGAAGAGGCAAGCATACCATATAAATGGCTATGTGTACTTTACAGTCTCTGTTCTTTTATAATAAAGTTATTCGTACTCCATTTTAAAGGTTTAGGTACATGATAAGTTACTGCAGCTTAACAGGTAACTAAGAATTAGGTCAACTACGGCAGGTTTCCAGATGCCTACTTCTGGCTTGTAACAAGTGTAAAGTAATTACATTAGCTTAGTGGTGAAGAGGGGTAAGCTAATTCAAACTGTCTTGGTTTTTTGGGACCTGTGCTTGTGTGTTTGTGAAAATGCAGCCCAGCTGGTTCCCAGTAACTTGTTAAGCTGCAGTAATTTAGCCGAGTAAAAAACCCTGAAAGAAAGCTGAAGTTTGGCTTAGCTTTTTTCATAGTTGGAAAAATAACAATCCATCCTGTAGCATTGTATTAACATTCACATGGTTCACCAGTTGAGCCAGAACCTGTAGAGCTAGTCTCAAATCTTGAGATTTCTTTGAACTGTTGCCTTAAATTGCTCTTCTGATTTCTTATTCTGAATCTCCTTGCCTAGTTAGTCCAGTATCTTTTCCTTCTGGCTTCTCCTCTAGTATGTCTTCCTTCCCAGTTTCCAGGCAACATTTATCTCCTGCTTCCCCTCCCAAATATGTTTCTGTTTCTGCTTGTACTGTGTGATGTTTCCATCATTAGCTTGCTATTCCAGTCTTTTTGCCCCACAGTCACGTAACTTCCACAACCTAACTTTTCTTCAGATCTCCTTTCTTTCATCCTCAGTCCCACTGGTTTTGAACGTGCTTGCCAGTTTTCTGGCAGTCTCCTTGTTGGCTCCTTTGTCCGACCTTTCTTTCTTCCTGGTTCTGGCTTCTGGTTGGTTTGGTTTGTTTTTTTTTTTTCTTCTTTCTTTTTCCCTGGTCTGTTTCTTGTGTTTGGCTTTTGTCTCCTGCATTTGAAGTAGAAAACTTCCTTTCCACACTACCTGATGGGCCTTCCAAACACAAGGTGGGATCTTGGACAGCAGTTTTAGAGTCCGTTTTTGGCATGGCACACAGAAGCATGGAAGTTCAATGGCAGGGTAAACCTGTATCAGCCATCTCAGGTGTGCCATGTATGGACAGGAGTTTAAGTTTTCAGCTGTGAGTCTGTAGCAGATCTGTGCTGAACTTGTATGAACTGTGATTTTCCTAAGATTTTTAGCTCAGTCAAAGAGAGTATGAAAATAAAGGTCTCCTGTTGGTAGCACATTGTTCTGAGTACATGAAAACGTTAACTTCTCAAATTATAGGTAGCTGGATTATTTTGCTAATGATAAAGCATCTTTCCTTGCCTGTTTTTCTGAAATGGCAGTGTTGTTTGGGCAGAACTTCTTTGAAAAATCTGGTCCAAGCAGGTACCTGCCATGAAAAGTATTAGCCAAGTTGCTAATGTTAGGAGAAAACAAATAAGTGTCTTAAAATGGGAAGTATCAGGCGACCTTTATATTGGACCGTGCTGCCAGCTTTAGTAGGAAGCTACCTGATAAGGGTAAAGATTATGGAAGTATAAATTCTGTCCTTTTCCTTTTTAAGTTGAAGTAGAAATCAATTTTCCAAATTCAGCTTAAAAAGCATCTTTGTTATCAAAATATCCATAATCTTGGTTTTGTTCATGAGTATAATAATGTTCCAGTGTTTGAAATAGGCACTCTAGTTTAACACTTCACTAGTATGCAACAGATACTAGAATTTAACATTTCTAAAAAGTTTTTATTGTTCTCCTAATTTATCCTAGACTGTTCATCGCCTGCTGAATGATGCTGTGCAGGATAACCAGTCCTTCACTAATACACTGTTATCCAAAGCTTCTAGTCTAATTTGACTTTCAGAAATACTGGTAGCAGAAAAATTGCAATTTTAGTTTCTCACCTTAATTTTCCTATCTCTCCTCTGCTTCTCATCTTCTTAGCCTATTCCTCCTTTATAATATCTTTTCAAAACACTTCTTTGAGAACCGTAATTCTCATAGGGAATTTTAAGTAGTCGGTTTTTTTCCTACAGGTGAGGGGTTCACAAACAAGGAAGTTCAGAAACAGTTGAACAGCAACATAGATTATTTTGTGAACCCTTAAACAACGACAACCAATGTTTCTAGCCTTTTTCCTGAAATCAAGTATCACTGTCTAACTAATAATTCATGGTGGAAAAAAATTTGTCAAAGAGTTTAGGGGAAGTATTTTTAGAATCATTTGTTCTGTAAAGTGACAGTGTAATCTAATCTCATAAATTCCGTATTTGTCCCAAAGCCTGAAGCCAGGCGGTTAAAACAGTACGGCAATATTTCTCTGAGAAGTCTAGAATGAAATGTTGAAAGACATGGGCATTGGTGAAATTACTTATCAGTGGTATGTTTATACCCACTTAGATCTACTTAAAAGCATGTGTGGTTATCACAGTAATTGTCTTTGTCATAACGATTGCTGTAATTATTGTGATCGCATCTGTTATTGCCCAGCTGTAGTTGGGGATAGGTTTTATTCAGTTGACACTGTGTAATTAGGGTCTTTTTATTTCTTCTTCAGTTGGCAGTTCTGCAAGTAGTAGTGCCACAAGGAGAGATTCTCTATCTACTAGCTCTGACTTGTACAAAAGATCTAGTAGCAGCCTAGCACCCATAGGGCAGCCATTTTACAATAGTCTGGGATTTTCCTCCTCTCCAAGTCCAATAGGCATGCCTCTGCCAAGCCAAACGCCAGGACATTCACTTACGCCACCGCCATCACTTTCATCACATGGATCCTCATCCAGTTTGCATTTAGGTAAAAAAAAAAAAAAAAAAAAAAAAACAAAAACAAAAAACCAAAAAAACACTTCTTGTTTGTATGTGTGTATGTATTTCTATGTGTAAAATATATGTTGCATAAGAGATGTCACATTACCTTTGCTGTTAAACAGTTTTGTAATGAAGAGGGGCCATTCCTGAAAGGTGAAGAGCACGCTCAAATGCTCATTGATTTGACAGTGGAGGGCACTCAGCTTTTTGCAGTATCGGGCCAACAACTGATTTTTCTTCCCTTGCAGAAGCCCGATAGAGAGCCCAGTAAGACTTATTCATCCTTTTTGTATTATGTTTCTACAGTATGACAAGCAAAGGTGCATTATTTTTGTTTCTGCTTCAGTGTATTACCACTTTAAGGAATTTTAAGATGATGATGTGTTTAACAGTGAAGTGACTTTCACTACTGCCCCTTACCATGATAAAATAGAAAAGTGAGCAAAGCTCTCAATGTAAAATGTATTGAAAGGTGATTTTTTTAATTGGTGAGCCTACTATGTCATGGCCCAGATGCTTTGCCAGGAAGACAACAGTTTATGACCAGGCTGGTGGAAAAAGAGAAAATGCATTTGTGAAAGTAGCAGCAAAGGCTTTGTCAGTGGTGGCTCTCTGTTATTGGATGTATTTTTTAAGGAATGATGATAGTAACCTTTTAGAAAATTTTTAAGCTAGTTAGATGACATGGTAGCTGAACCTTTTTTAAAAAATTAAAACTAAAAAAATCTAAAGAAACCCCACCACAGCCTACAGTATATTTAGAAGAGAATGCCTCTAACCTGAGGTTACTTGATAAACTTGCCCTGTTTTCACTGCAAATATTTGTGATCATTTAATTTTGGTGCTAAAATCATACAATGAAACTGGATGTGATTTCAAGATTGAGTTGCCTGTTGCTCCAGTAACCATTCAGTGCACAGTTTTGTGCATGTAATGGGCAACCTAATCCCATGTACTTCTGTTAGTGCAAATAAAACAGGAAAAAATTTAAAAGTGCCTACCAAAATACACTTTAAGTGAGAAATGTGTGAGTGATTTGTATAACAAGGTTAAAAGTAACTTAAATATATTACATTTACAGTTCAGTATCCCTTTCACGGTTAAGTGCTGAATACCCAAAGTAAAACTGGGCAAGGGGATGTTTCAGCACGTTTTATTTTTTTTTACTTACCTTTTTTCCTTTTTCAGGTCTACAAAGTGCACCTTTGGGCTGAGACCAAGCATGGAAAGTTTCAGCCCAAATGGAGGCTTTTGAGAAAGTTCTGAACATCTGACAATGGGGTTATCATGGAAATCTTTTTCTTTCTTTCTTTTCAAAGTACTCTCACAATAGTTTTCATATTACTGAAAACTATACTTAAACCAAATTTTGGAAGGCATTATCTAAAATTCAAAACATTTAAAGTTTTGTGTTGTTTCACATTTGATAAATGTTAGAAGACTTTCTTCAGTTCTGAGAAAATAAGATGCGATCAGTATAGAAGATTACCTCTATCAGCAGAAATTGTTAAATACTGATTTTAATCCATTTTGGACTGTTTGGCAGTGTGAACTAAGCATAATAGTTTGTTAAAATCATGTACTAGATCAGTGTATAAAGGCCAGAATGTACAGTTGTACTCTGAAAATTGACACAACCTTGTTGGCTTCCATGTGTACTGCCTCTTCATCTTCCAAATGAAGTGGACCTTGAGTACGGGTAAAGTTTTTGCTACCTTATCAAATCAATCTGAAATTTGGAAATTGAGGTCTTTTGGATTTTTGCTTTCACAAAATGCAGTAATTTTTTTTTTTAGCATTTCCTGCACTCTGCCCTGTGTCATATCTTTGTGCAGTTACATCCAAGGTGCACCATCACGAAAAGTTGAAGACTATTTCTGCGGTTAATTGTCTGTCCTGTTAAATTTATTCTGGTGTGTTCATCAACCACTTCTGGAAGCATTTGTTTTGTTCTCACATACAAAAAATAAAAAGGCAAAGCTTTCTCACCAAATGAGAAGTTATACCTGAAATCAAACAGGGAGTGTATTTTAAGAAGGGTATGATATCATGTAGTCACTTTTCAGAGTAGAACAACATTGTAAGTTCATGTCTGCATGCAGTTTCCATTGGTATTCTGATAATGCCTGTCAAATGCAGCTCTCCCTCCACCTTCAAAACTTGTTGTCCTGCCTGCTTATATCAACAGGTTCAGCTAAGTTTAACTTCTGTTTTAAAATGGGCATCAAAGTCGGTTGCTCCTGTTTCAGCCACCAGAATACTAGAGCACAATACTGGGAAAGGGTGCATGGTTTTATAACCCCTTTGTCAGACACTCTGCTGCAATTTGTAGCTTGAAAGACCAGTTTCCCTTTTACAAGAAATTTGTGATATTTTACTGTTTTTATCTCTTCTCACCAACTCTTATCCAACATCCTAAAATAGGAATGTGCTAATTACTTTGTTCTAGTGTCAGTTTTCCTGTATTTGAAGGGATTTGTCAGTTGTCTGTAACTGCTTCTTTACTGTAATCAGTTGGAGCAGTAAGGTCATGAATTTGAACTACCCTTTCACTCCCAGGAACAAAAAACTGCAAGAGGAAGTATTTTTCCTATGTTATAAAACATCCTTTCAGATTGGTAGTGCTTACTCTGTTTGATGGTACGTTGCAGCATTTTAAGGGTTTGGTGCAGAGTTGGATTTTTAAAATCTGGGTGTTTGGAGGTAATTACTTTCTGTGCGTTGCAAGCCAAGCTTGTTAGTAGTTTAGATTGATGTTGTTTATCTTCAGAAGTGGTCATTCTGGGCAAGAGTAAAGGCCAGTTGGCAAGACAGTGTGGGGAACTTTGCATTGCCTCTGCTGTGTACCTACTCTGTAGGGCTTCAGTAAACCAGGCATAATAAGGACTTGCATTGATTCATAAAATATACATACATATATATATACACACAGGCATATATGTGTACATATATATGTGTAATTGTTTTCCATATGAAAATGAAATTTTTAGCTGAGAATGAGATGAAGCTACTTTTTTACAGACGAACAAATACATTCCAGAAATCAAGTTTGAAGTGTTTATAGACTTGTATGTATTTTACTAGAAAATAATATTGCTGACTGATTTTAAACAGCAGCTACTGTGCAGGAAATCTGTATTATGTCTTGGTTTAAAACGATTGAAAAAATACTTTGGTGATAAGTACTAACAGACTAATGCTATCAAAATAAATGTGCCTAGATCTAGTTTTTAATATTTTTTTCATGTTCTCCTTTACATTAAATATGCTATCCTTGTTAAGGAGTTGGTAATTTAACATGCTTTGTGTCCTTCAAGCTTAGTAAGGTTCTGTTTTAGATGATTTATATCCCCTTTATACCTCTGTGCCTCTTCTTCCCTATGGACTAGCCACAGGGATTTAGGTTCAATTAAACTGTAAAACAACTTAATATTATTCATTGCATCGGAGATCTTTGTTTTACGAGATCAGAAGTGATAGCTAAGTGATTATCTGAAGAATGAACTGCACACCTTATTCCCCAACGGTTTATAATTGTGTGGCTACACTGATGCTTGATAAGTCTTTGAACACTTCAGTGTTTGCAAAAATGTTTAGACTAGGTGCTTTATTCAGTAGGGTATGTTCCCCAAATAATTTATAAGACCTAGGCTGTTACCTTTCTAGTTTGGAATCGGAATCTGTAAAACAAGTGTCCTGAGTTCTTGAAGAGCATGGGGGATGCAGTAGGCTAACCAGGAGGATTTGGGTAACTAGCATTCAGATTTTAGTTTTTCGTTTCTAAGCTATTTCCATTTCTAACTCAAAGTTTTCAGAAAGGAGACCAGGTGTCCTTAATGTCCACACTAATGCTTTAGTGGTTTCTCATTACTGAGAAAGTAATGAGTACAATACTTAAGAAAATAGTCCATTGTATACAAGAGTATATCTGCATATAAGTACCTATGGCAATATGCTTTTATTTGGGGGGTTTACTATTTTTCAAGTCTGCAAAGTTGCCACTGAGCTATAACACTGCTGCTGTAATAAAAGGTTACATGAGAAGAAAAGCTAATTACCTATTAAATTACTGGTTTTTATAATAGCATCCAGGGTTTTACAAGGTTAAGCTTTCTGTGTGCTTTTGAAGTATGACAGGTTCTTCTAGGCGCAGTGGATATGTTTTCAGCCTTCCTGTATCATGATCCTGCTTAACATGATCGTCTTAAGTAGTTTCACAGGCTAGACAGGAGTCTCCCAGTTGCAGCATAGTCGTCTTACAAGTCTTAAAAAGGGATGGTTCCCAAATTAGACTGAAGAAAGGCTTGATACTCCTGAGTGTGAAATGTATACGTGCAGTTCTACTACACATACATAGCAGATTTGTTAAAAGCTACTAAGTTTCTTAATTTCTGTTTTAATTGCTGGATAAATTGACACATTTAATTCATACTTACATGAAGGCTCAGTTAAAAAAAAAAAAGCTGAAACAATTCCTGATTCACATGTGCAATTCCATTAATGTCTATGCAAATTAGAGCCATGCAGTTTGTGAGCATATAATCAAAAACCATCCTGTTAGTTTCTGGCGCAGAATTGAGTTATGTGATCAGAGGAGCAATAGAATGCTACAACAGGGAGGTAGTCCATGAGACTTCCTTTTGAACAGGCTTTGCTGCCCTCGCGTGGCATTAAATAGTGTTACTACACCGCATTTACAGGGAAGCTAGGATTTCATTCATGTATTAAATAATCTAGATGAGAAATAACATGATTTCAGGAGCATAACTTTTTGTTCTCTAGAAGGCTTTTCCTAGAAGAGAAGTGACTGTAGAGCATCACTCTGCATACTGCTTCACCTGCAGAATGTTGGGTTTCTTTTTTCTTTTTGCCTGTTAGCATCATGTCGCTGTCAGCTCTTTTCTGGCAATAGTGATTGTCAATGGAAACTAAAAATTAGTTAAAAAAAACACCTTGATTTTTCTGGCTGTAAAGAACTAAGAGGCTTTAATTTAAAAGAAAATCTAGTGTTTTTTAGAAGGTATTGTGGGGCATAAAGTATATGCTGATTCTTTACTGATATTTACCACTGAATTTTGAAAACTAATTGTAAAATAAGTACTAATTATTTCTATGTTAGGGCATAATCCTATACAGTGCAATAAATGTGATGCTTGATATGTCTTGCAGAGCACTAACGTCTCAGATTCTGGTATTGCAATTTGACCTTTCAAAAAAGATACTTTACCATTAATACATTACCAGCCCACTGTAACACTGTTGTTGCCTGGCCTTATAAACACTTGGAACCAAAAGAAGGCTTGGCTGGGGCACTGTCAGCTGATTTCTTTTTTTCTTTTTTTTTTTTCTTTTTTTTAATTAATTAATTTTGTAATCGAGCACCATTCAAACAGCACATACTGCAATTTGTTTTAAATTCAAATGTAGATATTTATTCTGTTGACTTTGAAAGGGCTTTCAGTTGCTATCTCACTTTCTAGATAATTTGTAGGGCAACTGAAAATGCTTTCATTTTCCAATTTATACTCGACAATTTTAGGTTGTGTTGGGATTTTTTTTAAGTAGTAGAGTTGAGGTTTCTAGGTGGGAATTATCTTTGAATATTTCTGCTCATAGTATAGTACCAGTATCCTTTTTAAAATCATACTGTAGTTGGGAAAGATGCTTTGTTTGCATGCTTATTATGATAATTGCTGCCTGTTGTAAAGCGGAGGGGAGAGAGGCCTGCTGGAGGAGTTCAGTGACGTAAACTGATTAGAGAGCAATATGTGATGAGAAATTCACAGGACTGTGAGATGACGATAGCTGTAGGTGGAATCACTAGCAAAAAGGAGTAGGACCTAAACACAGGAAGGCAATTCAGTTCTTAGTAAAGAAAGACAAAGTGTAGCAAGTGATGAGTGTTTTCACAGCAGGGAAAGGACTTAGTGTTTCTAAAAGGAACTTCAGTTTGATATATCTTTGGTTGTTTTAGAATTAAGTAGAACATTCTTAGTTACTTGGTTTGAAATTTGACATATTTAGTGCTTACAAGAGGTACCAGATTGAAAGCCTGGGATGCTGAAGTCATCAAATATCCTGCAGAACAGGTACAGCATGAGAAGAGGTACCATGTGTGCCTCCCCAAAAATGCCCTTTCACACTCTAAGTTGGAAAGGTACCTCAGCAGGGACTGAAGGGTAGTTCAGATTTCATGGTCTATTTTGAAACAATTGGCTATCTTTGAGGCTACTAACAAGGGTGTAAGTCAGTATTACTTGTGAAGTGGAAATCTGCCCACTAAGCTAAGGCCCACCCAATTCTAAAGTTTCTGTAAGTCGGAGTGGGTGCTCACTTCACCTGCTTCATTATATTCTTCTAATGACGTTTCTTTTCCTGGTGCCCTTCACATAAAATAAAAATGAGGAGGAGAATGGTTTTATTTGTTGGAAGATAAAGCTATCTAACTCCTCCAACCATAATGAGGTAAATACAAATAACAAGGCAACACTGTTGTTTTCTTTGGCTCCAGGGTGTATCCGTAGTTCTAGTACACTTAACTGTTTTGCTGTTGCTTATTTTCCTTACGGCTTTTACTGACAGAACTGCTTCCTTGTAGGAGGACTGACAAATGGTAGTGGTCGCTATATTTCTGCAGCACCTGGAGCTGAAGCAAAGTATCGCAGTGCGGCAAGTACCTCCAGTCTTTTTAGCTCCACCAGTCAGCTCTTCCCTCCTTCACGCCTTCGGTACAGTAGGTCTGATATAATGCCTTCTGGACGTAGTCGATTGCTGGAAGATTTCAGAAACAATCGTTTCCCTAATCTTCAACTGAGAGACCTTGTTGGACATATTGTTGAATTTTCCCAAGACCAGCATGGTTCTAGGTAATTATTATAGTAAAGTTAATAACTTAATAATATTTTACTGCTTTGATACTGTTACGTTAACATCAAACGTTTGAATGAGCTGCTAGTCATCTTAATACAAAGCATACTATTAATTGGAGCACATGCTCTTCCACTGACCTTTTTCTTTTCTAGGAAATTTCATTATAAAAATAGTATAAATTTAGCTGCTTGTAGAAGTTCTCAGTGTAGAAATAGCCTCATAACTAGACTTGTAAACTCTAGTATTTAGGTATCAAAAAGGCGTTGATTAAGGAAACAAAATATCTGGCATCTGGAATGTAAAACCATTTTTCAGCAATACATCATCAGGTACTTAGTTATTATTTTTCTTTTCATCTTTAATCCTTTTCAAATGAAAGGTTTTCAGTATCATTTTACTAAAATGTATCCTTTTATACGCAAAGGCACTACTTTCATTTTAATAAGTTTTATAAATGTTGAATACCTGCTTTAGAATTTTGAGGTGTCTCATTGAAACAGTGTTTGAGAGGTTTTCCTGTTTATGTAAAGCATAATGTACCTTTTTTGCGCTTAGATTTATACAGCAAAAGCTGGAGCGAGCTACTCCAGCTGAGCGCCAGATGGTATTTAATGAGATCCTGCAAGCAGCATATCAATTGATGACTGATGTGTTTGGAAACTATGTAATACAGAAGTTCTTTGAGGTAAGCATAACATTAAGTGTATGAACAGAAATGTGAGTGAAATGCTGTAAAATCTGATTAAACTTAACTGTTTTTTTCTTAACATCATAGCAGAATTCTACTGGACTTTCACCAGAGAACCCAAGCGTATAACACTGCACACGTGTTTTCTGTTCTGTGTTCCCCGCTTTTTTCGATAACTGTCGCAGTTTCTCTTTACACTGGTGGTGCATATGTTGGTGAACATTGGTGAATATACAGGCTGAACACTCAGGCTTTGCAAGCCTTTTAGCGTAATTTATGGAGACTTTTGGCGGACAATGGGGAACATAAAGATCTGAAGGATACTTTTTATTGGTTACTGCACCTTGGTAAACAGTGGGTCTGGAAAATGCTCTTACACCCAAATAAATAGCTGTGTGAACTTCATCCAGTGCTGCATGTGAAGAAACTCACATAAAATGTATTGAGGCAGAAGAATTTTGAGGAAGGGATGTCATAAGATACATCCAATATTACTAAAACTTGTATTTAAAACAGCTTTGGTTTTTGTTTAAAAAGATGGGGTAAAAAAAAAAGGTGTTATCAAAGAGTTACAAGATTTGACTTACAGAGAGAAGTAAAAGCAATACCTGTGTCCTGGAAAAAATTATATGTAGGAAAGGCATCTAGCATAGTGTACTTTTAAATCAAGGACCATATCAAAATACCTGGGTGGATAGAACATGAAGCTGGAAAATGTCCAATAAGAAATAAGATAGTTGCTGTAAACAGGAATGTACTTTTTAATGAGTAATCTGTGAAACAATGTGCTTTTTTTTTTTTTTTTTTTTTACTTGATATTCTTTTTTACAAATCAGAATATCTTCTGAAAAGCATGGCTGACGTATGGTATGTAAGATCTTGATCTTGCTCAAGGGTCACCAATTGCTGGTTTTTTTCCATAATGTTAGGTTGGAGGGATACATGGATAGTCATTGTCAATGAGTGTTTTCACCTTAATTCTGCAGAAGAGTTCTCAAGAAACAAGTGCACTAGGCCTTGGGTGTAGTAAGGGACTTAGTTCATTTTTTAAGTAGGAAGGCAAAGTTGTTTGAGCTTTCTTCAGAGTCTGAAGTGACTACAGGTGTGGGGTTTGACAGTTCTCAGCAGTGCTGCATGAATATTGCTGGTGCCACCAACCTGATTGTCCAGGTGATCACTTCTGGGTAGTCTCTTGTACCATGCTAACTCAGGAGCTTGCATGGGGATCTGTGAACAGGGTTATGTGTATTATTATGAAGCTTGACTGGCTTCTACTCTGCTCAACATGGACCAGCACAGAAGGTTGTAGTAGCACTGTGGAGGGAATAATATGGGCGGGAATTAGCTACTGCTGAAAAACATTGGTTGTAGTGTACTCTAATACAGCCAGTGTACAAAAACATACTGATTTTGCTCTACAAACCCCAAGTATTTCGAGATTTCCCAAAGTGCCTATGGTAAGAATGATCCTTCAAGCCACGTGAAGTTACTGAGAAGATACGTCAGGGGTTGAAATCTTTCCCCCCGGCCCCTCCCGTTACAGCTAGCTTACTGTATACAAGATGTAAGATACACTGACATGTACAAATTTGAGATATCTGAGAAAATCTGATTTGAATTAATATGTTACAGTAACCTGTAATTAATTTGCCTGGTATAATTTGTCTAAATAAGTGGGTTATTGCACTTAAATATTCCTACAGATAGTCAAGTATAAACTACTTCAATCTCTTCTGTTGTGTTTCAAGGTCATGCATTTGATAGCGGGTATGTGACTGGAATGTGGAATATTACAAAACGTTGCATTTAGAATATAAAAGCTTCTGGTAAATATACCCACCAAAAATACAAAGGGAAAAATCATTCAAGGTGCACAGTAAACCTGTAATACATCACAAAAGTACTTAGTCTGACATGTAAATTTCAGCATGCTGAGATATGTCTTCGTTTGCTAACAGCGTATTTATTTTCTTTTAGTTTGGAAGCTTGGATCAAAAGTTAGCCCTAGCAACACGCATACGTGGTCATGTTCTGCCGTTAGCCCTACAGATGTATGGTTGTCGTGTTATTCAGAAAGCACTTGAGTCAATCTCACCTGACCAGCAGGTAATTGTAAGTTAGAGCAATACTTTTTTATTTTATTTCTTTTTATTGCATCCATCTTTTTACTTGCTTAAATTGTTGATCATTCCTTTCATTATGAAATGCCCTAGGGACTAAACCAGTTGTTTAAATTGAATTGCTGAGGTATACAAGTAAACCGCCAGTGAATGTGAAAATTGGACAGTTAGGATGAATCATTGTAAAGACAAGGATAATCTTTTTTTTTTTTTTCAGAATGAAATGGTGAAAGAGTTGGATGGTCATGTTCTGAAATGTGTGAAAGATCAAAATGGAAACCATGTTGTACAAAAATGTATTGAGTGCGTTCAACCCCAGTCGCTCCAGTTCATCATTGATGCATTCAAAGGACAGGTAGTGTCAACAGTTCATTTCCTCTTCTGTAGGATTGCTTTGATTTGCAGATCTTTTTCCATCATTTCCATATACAAGACAGTGTTGAACACTTTGCAGTCAGCTTGTTTTAAGTAGGATAAAAAAGGGATGATAAAATGGAAAAGCTGTTGAAGAGACAGTTAACATGCTGTAAAAAAGATGAATCTCTTGGAGATGAGACTCTAGAAAGACCTGTTTGGATGTATTATAAATACCAATAGAGGTATTTGGTGTAAGGCCAGGCTTTCTGTTTGAGTTTTGTGATATGCCATTTCAGATTTCCTTTCTAACTTCTAACGCTGCCATTTTTGATGTAATAATAAAGTATCTGCTCTTTAGCCTATATTTTTCATTAAAATTTCCATTTTCTTCTTCTGTTGCTTATGTTGCAAGTCTGTCTTTCAGTGTTTCCCAATTAATGTCTATCATTAAGGAAATACTTTGAAGAAATACACTAATCTGTTCCCTACGTATGGGCTAGTGTGAAGTGAAGGGAGGCAGTATTTGTTTGTTTAAGGTTGGGGTTTTTGTTTTGTTTCCAAAAAAGTTATTAATATAAGATTGATACTGTGCTGCAGGCTAGAGAATATGCTGCAGCTAAATAAGATTTTAATACTCTGAGACAAACGTGTACTTTTATAGTCTCAAGAAGAATTGTAAAAATCTTACTAACTTGGCTGTGTTACTAGATTTTACTTTAATGGATGGCCAAATGTATTTCTTAACAAAATCTACAATATCCTTCTCTCACATTTTACACAACCGCAATACCTGAGGTATTGTTTTACATAGTAGTAAATGGCATACCAAGGTTTCCAGGGTCGGGTCTTTTTACATCAAAAGGCGTGTATGGGGATAGACGAGATGCAGTTTCTAAACGGAAAATAGAGCCCCTTGACTAAAATGACTCTGTTTATTTACTGGACATCCATCCTCAGCTCCAAGTAATTATGTATAAAAAATACTAGCTAATCTGAAGTGGCAAATGAAAAATACCACACTTTAGTCATGTCATGTAACAATATGTATCTTTTTCACCTGCCTGCATCGTTTGGATCTATGTCTAATCGGACAAGATTCTGTGTTCACTTCTGACCAACACTGACTCTTAAACCTTCTGAATTAATCCCTGAAACACAAACCTGGCTTCTGGAGAAGCAAGCAAAAGGAATAAGCAAGATTTTGACTATATGTTTTGAATACTTATTTACAAACTTTGTATCTGTAACAGGGAGCCTGTTGTATATGCTGGAATGTGAAGTTAGTGAAAATCAGCCACAATAACTGAACTCCTTTTTTATAAATGTCAAAATCTTAAAATTTGAAAATGAAGTATGAAGTTAAAAGGAAGGCTCGAAAGGTGAACAGTGCTTAACTGAGGGTCATACTTACAGGCTTTCCTTTGCAGCTAAGTAGGCTAGAAACATTGTAATGGAAACTTGGGTTGTTAATTGTATAATTACTGGAGTCCTTGACACACGAAAAAATGGATTTTCATCTTTTCCGGACTTCTGCTGGAGATGGAAATCTGACATCGGCAGGCAAAACTTTTTTTTTAATAGAAGTAGTTGGCATATTCAATTCCATGTCGAACATGGTAATATTACTATATCTGTAAACTCCGGTTGGTTTAACTTCAGTTTGCAATCCTATTTTAAGGTATTTGTACTTTCAACTCATCCATATGGTTGTAGAGTAATTCAGCGTATTCTGGAACACTGTACTGCTGAGCAGACTTTGCCAATCTTAGAAGAACTGCATCAACACACAGAACAGCTAGTGCAGGTTAGTGCGTATGTTCATTTTTTTAATGCATTTTAGAGCTTTTTATTGACATAATTTATTCCTATTTCTTAGTTTAAGAAATAGTTTAAATGCATTGCCTCTTCAGTTTTGTAGACATTGATTTTTTTTGTTTTTCTTTCCTTCCATAGTTTTAATGAAAATGAATTTGGAAGTTGGGAGGCAAAGAAGATATAAAAAGCCTTTTTCTTACACTTTTGACTGTAGCTTCAAATATACATTGTAAATGCACAGAATTAGTATATTTTTTTTATTGCAAAGATTGCCTTTTTGTAGTGTATCTTGGTTCATTCAAGTGTCCTTCAGATAACTTCTAATAATGCCTAAACACAAAAACATTGTCAAAAATACACATTGCATATTGTTAGACAAAAAGGGCTTATTTTCTAAAAGAAGGCAAAAGACCTTATACAACACGATTCCCTGTCTTGGTCTCAGACAAACAAAATGAGTGCTACAAATGGCTTTGAAACTGAATCAGTTTAAAATACTGGAAGGGACTCAGTGTTCAGTAGGAATTTCCACACGTAAAAAGGCAAGAATTGCCTTTTGCTACATATTCCCAGTCTAGTTTTTCTCAGTGGTTTCTTGTATATACAAGTCTCTAGTTAAAACATAACTGTCTTGGGGAACCAGAGTTCAGGGAGATATTATGGCTGTTAAAGAATGATGATCTTAATTTTGAGGACTTCTTTCTTTAAGAGGATAAAAGGTACTCTAGCAAAATGCTTTTTTTACAGATTATTTACATTTTTGCCTGTAAATTTTGTGGGCCATTAAGTAATTCTTGATGCAATATTTCTTACATCATTTTGTTTCTATAATGTTGACATTATCGTATTTTTCCTTATATCTGTGCAAATAGTAATTTGAAAGTTTATAGAAATATACAAAAGCTGTATGGATTACTTGGTATGAACACAAAAGAAAATTGAAGTCATCTTATTTTCAGGATCAGTACGGAAATTACGTTATTCAACATGTACTGGAGCACGGTCGTCCTGAAGACAAGAGTAAAATAGTTTCAGAAATAAGAGGAAAAGTTCTAGCTCTGAGTCAGCATAAATTTGCCAGGTATTGCACAGCCTTCATATATTAAAGGTTCACTACTTTCCTAAGTTGTAGTATTGGATTTATTTATTGTATTACGAAAAGGAAAGGATAGGGTTTTTTCTGTTGTCTTAACTTGCCTCCTGACATCTCCTATTTTTATAGAGATTAACGGCAGTGGTATTTTATACTAGATTTGGGGAAGGAAAAGGGGAAATGCTGTTCTGTAGCAAAACAAAGAAGATTCCACGGGTTTATGGGGATGGTTTTTGTTCACCTTGTAAAAGTGCAGGGAATGGGTTCCAAGTCTCCCTGTAAGGATCCCCAGAGCCAGGTGAAAAGCTCTCCTAGAACTTGCTTGATACGCTAATGGTGATAAGCTGGGACCTCCTGACTCTATCAGTCCAGCCAAGCAATTTACAAGTATAAAAAGGTTAGCCTTGAAAGTGGTGGTTCACCTCAGAATTCATCCCGGATGATTTAGTGAGGCTAACCTTGTCATCAATGTTAAGTACAAATGCACTGTGACATTATGGGGGCATTTGTTTTAGAAGTTGATTATACGCAAACTAGCAAGTTTATCTGGATTTTATTTTTCTTTGCCTAAATAGAACTGTTCATAATGCTCTCCTTGGAATTTGCTTAATTTCTAAAGCACAAACTTAGGACCAGAATCACTTTGCTGTCTTAAAAGCACTGATGGTCTTTCCAGCTTCTGAGATATCTGGAAGGTCAGAGACTTCCTCTACAAAAAGAAATATTTGACAGTATCTCCGATCTAGGCATGCTCCTGAAAAGCACCTTTATTCAAAAAAGCCTCGTATCTGGCTTTCTCTGTTGTGTCTTAAAAGAACCCACAACCAAAATAGATGTACTAGAATACATCTGCAACCTGAGGTCCAGTATATCCACTGTAGGTCCAGTGGAAAATATCACCTACGAAGTAATAAGTATCAGAAAATTACTTTTTTTTTATATGAGTGGGTGTGTGTAACCCTTTAACTTCCTTGACCACTACAGACTAAAGATTTGGAAATCAGGACTTGATGCATATACAGTGCGCTCTTTAGTGGTGTAAGACACTTGAACTGTTCAGATGAATTTAAAATTGCTACTTAAAAGAATGTCACATCTTAAGTCACAGAATGCATTTGCCTTATTTTTCAGCAATGTGGTAGAAAAATGTGTAACTCACGCTTCTCGTGCTGAAAGAGCTTTACTTATTGATGAGGTCTGTTGCCAGAATGATGGTCCTCACAGTGCCTTATACACCATGATGAAGGACCAGTATGCCAACTATGTTGTTCAGAAGATGATTGACATGGCTGAACCTGCCCAGCGGAAGATAATAATGCACAAGGTATATATTTTTGTATAGTTTTATTGGTTCGGAAAACGTTATTTATACTAATTTTTCTGCTGGAATACCTTTCCCTCTAGATGTAAAGCTCGCTAGTTCTGTAATCTAGAACTTGATGCATAAACATTAAATTCAGTGGAGCCTGATAAAGCAGAATACGTTCAGGTCTCTGAGCACTGAGCTAAAAATGTAAATCTACAGAAAAGTTTCAAAAGTTGTATTTCATATCCTCTCTTTGTGCCAGCTTTTCTGGGAGAATACTTTTAATATAAAAATGTATTCTCTGTCATATTTATTAATATAACAGAAGAAACACAGGTTTCTTTTTTTATTTGCTGGTTGCTGGTATAAATCCATTCTGCAGTTCCCCCAAAAGAGATTCCCACACTTCCTAACATACGGGCACATTTTCTACTTAAGAATATGCAGACATGGACAAAAGTGCTGTTGATGTAATTGCTCTAGGCTGTTTAGAGCAGGGCCCGCTGTATTC